TGCTTGGCTCCTCCCCTGGGCGGAGCATCTCCCCATGGGATGCTGGGATTGGATCAGCCCTGCAGGGACACTCAGTGGCCATGGACAGCAGAGATCTGCTGGAGGGAGGGTTGGCTGGGGGAGAGATAAAGACAAAACTGCCCCAAGAACAGCAGAGAACTGCCCCAGCTCTGACAGGTTGGAACAGAACACACATTGCAATATAGGGTAGCTGGTTAAAGCTGGCAGTGTGAGCTGTGATCCTGTTGAGGAGTGTAGTTTTCTTCTGAAAGTTCAGTAGTGTAGATGAGCTTGATCTTCTGAGAATCTAATAGAAAAGAAAGCTGTTCTTCATAGAATCTAGTAGAGAAAGACTTCTGAGAGAACACTTCTTCTAGTGTGCTAAATCTCAGATTATATCTAAGTAGGAATGCTCAGCTCCTCCTGGGCAGGACCTCTCTCAATGAGATGATGTAATTTTATCAGTTATGAAGTGAGATTCAATAGCCCATTAACAAAAGAGATCTCCCCAGAGGGAGGATTAGCTGTAGAAGAGATAAAGTAAATGCCCAATTAACAAAAAATGTCTGCCCCACTTCTAACATATAAGAAATAAAATACACACATATCTTATAACCCAAGCTCAGCAGCTGAGAGCAATCTGCACTTTTGGGGTGAATTTCCTCTGTGCTGAGGATTAAAACACCCTTGTCAGGGAGTGCTGCAACCACCCTGGGACAGGAATGTTTCAGTCATGGCTTCATTTAACTTCTACCTTGGTTTTTATTTCAGGGGAGTTACTTAGCACATACCCAGGGGAAGAAGCATCAGACCAATTTGTAAGTTATCCTCTAAAATAACTTTATTCTTTATTACTGAAGCACTTTAATATTATGATGTTGAGTGTCTGTAGTCCTTTAATTCCATTTTACTCTGTTTGGTTATTTTACTGTGGTTCCTCATGCAGCCAGGAGGCACAGCCTGGATCTGCCTGAAAAATGGTACTGAAAATCTCCATTTTAAGCTAAAATCCAGTTGTGGAATTGCTGAAGGAATAAGGAGAGAGAGTTTTAAAAGCAAATTCTCTGAGTCTAGTTAGGAGGACCTCTCAGTGTTTGGACAACACTCTCAGGGATGCTCAGGGTGGGATTTTTGGGGTGTCTGTGCAGGGCCAGGGGCTGGATTTGATCCCTGTGGGTCCTTCCAACTGAGGAGATTCCGAAATTCTTTGATCTGTATTTATCAATACAGGTTTGGAGAAGTTGGGAAGTTTTCTTTTAAGGAATCCAGTTTGCTTTGCTTGATCTGTGGGTTTAGTTTCATGTTGGTTTCAAGAATTCAAGTTTTCTCCAATCCATCTGTGGAGCCTGGCCTCAAGGTCATGGTGAGGGTGGATCAGATGGTTGAGTGACAACCTTTAGCTAAGGGGGAGGATGGATACAGCTGGGGATAAACCAGGATTTCCTGGCATGATTCCTGTGGAATGCTGTGCTGAGGGATTCAAACTGCTCCTTTAGAAACAAGAATTCTTAAATTCAGAATTAATCCCCAGGGCACGACGAGCTGCCAAGGAAGCCAAGGAAGCCCCAGCCCAGCCTGCCCCAGAGAAGGTGAAAGTGGAAGTGAAGAAATTTGTGAAAATTGGGCGTCCAGGCTACAAAGGTGAGCCCAGGAGGTCCCTGATGGGCAGTCCCTGCCTGGTGGATGTGAATTATTCATTGATCTTTTGAGCAGCTCTGCCCATGAATAAGATATAGGCTCTTTCCTGGAACTTTTTTATTGTTTAAATTGCTCATGGAACTTCTTTTTATGGCTGACAGGCAGGGAGAAGCACTTCAATAATAGATGGGTGTGTCTCAGGCTGCCAGGGAGATGATGGCATCTCATCTCCTCCTTCCCTTGTGCTGCAGCACCTTTCATTAATGCTGAAAATCATTCACTCCATGCAGAACTCATGGGGTTTTTTCTGTTTTTCATGGTTTTTTGGCCTTCAGTATAAAATTTGGCTTTTTAATTTCACCAGTGCTTTGCCCCACAGTAGAGGAGAATTGTGGAATAAATTAGGTTGGAAAATACCTTTAAGGTCATTGAGTCCAACAGTAAACTTAGCACTGCCAAGGCCACAGCTGAACCATGTCCCCAGGTGTTTTAACACTCCCAGGGATGGTGATTCCTGGACAGCTCCTTCCAATGCTTTACAGCCCTTTCAGGGAAGGAGTTTTCCCAATATCCAACTTAAATCTGGCCCAGCTTGTGGCTGTTCCCTCTCATCCTGT